GACTCCGCCTTGGCGAACTCCTTGTAGAAGCTCAAACACTCTAGATTTACGCTGCCCAAGTTGTACATATGATTTCATACCTGTGTACATCCTGTCAATAATAGTCCACAGCTGTCCATGAACCCCTGCTTCATACAGTTTGTATCTGAGATCGTTATGCCAGACGGTATCGAATGCCTTCATTGTATCCAAGAAAGCAACGTGTATATCTTGTTTCCTTTCATGGTAATGATATATAGTCTCTTGCAGATTAAATGAAGCTTGAATAAATAAAATATTCATAACAGCTACCGGAACATGTGATAGTTATGAAGGTATTACTTCATTCATTTCAATCTACGTTACCATACTTTGAGGAGCAAGTAAAAAATTGAGGTGAAAGATATGTTGCAGTTTTTTTAAGAGATCGAAATATCATACGTTTAGGGTCAATATCAATATTTCTAAAAAATCGATGTGATATTAACAGAATTGATACAAGCTTCACGAATTACAACTTTTGTCAATCTTTTGAAATGATGGCTAACGACACCCAAATATAATGATCATTTCCAAAGGCTTCTACCGAAGAACTTCTCAACAGTAGAACAATTGTTTTGAAACTATATCCCTATAATGAAGTAAATGAACAAGCAATCTTACCTATTTCACAGGGTATTTCCCGAATAAAGATGAAGTTTCCCTTCCAAATTTGAATTTCGTAAAATATCACTGAAGTGCTGCGATCATGTGACAGCAACCGGTGACAACTGTTGTAGGTTATCAATTATTTGCCTGGGTTCTCTGACTATGCTACGAAGCGAAATCTTCTATTTCCAGTAATATTTTGTAAGATTCCATATCAGCTGGTAACGTAGATTTCCTAAAGTAGATTACTTTCACCGTTTGCAAACTATACCATGATCTTGACTGGAAGCATATTGCACTCTCTTTTCGGTTTTATTACACTGTAAAAACACAAAGCATTCATTCTAATCACTTTTATAGGTAGCTGTTATTCATGTTTCCGTACAGTACTGGTAACGTAGCTTTCATGCTTAACACAACTATTTTTATAGACTGGGTTCGTCTTTGTGTACCGCTTTATATGGTACGATGCGTCCTGAGTTGACACTTTTTCTACATATAATATATCCAGTAAAAACCTGCGAGCTTTTCAAACAAATGTTTGTCAATACATATATGCATTTTACACTGCATTTTACGTTCTGTAACATAGATTACCGCTATTGTGGCGACATATTTCGTAGTGTCACATTTGTTTTGTTTATTATGATAATCCCTTCGTTTTTTTCGTAGGTTTGACATTCATGTACGTACAACCTATTGGAAGTGATTTTTAACGCCTATGATGGTAAACATACTAATTGTATCCATTTTTTAAACACTACAGCTTTGGCGACACCAAGAATGAATAAATTGTGACACATGTTTTGATTGTTAAAAACAAAATAGTGATTTCCAGTTGATTTCTACGATGTATACCATGTTTACTTGGTAGTACTGGATGAGTATTTGACTTTTATTCGTGTTTATTCGTCTGCTAAACAAGTACAAATCAAAACGACAGAAGAAATAGGTAATTTGTCATTCTCTCTGAGAATTAGTGCTCGTCCCATGCCGGATTACGCAGTGTCTTCCGCAGGACGAGGGAGTTCGATGTTAAATCGGTTATGGTAGAATGGAGATAAACATACTGTGTTTGGAAATTAGATGAATGTTGGACCGAATTGATAGTCTCTAAATTAATTATTTGAAACCTCACGCTAAATTAATTATTTGAAACCTCACGCTTTTCGTTCGGCTTCAAATGAAATTCAGAGACTATCAATTCGGTCTAACATTCATCTAATTTCCAAACACAGTACGTTTATCTCCTAAGTGAAACCTTCCATAATGTATGTATACAACATAGACAAACACTAAAATTTACTTGTGGGTCGGTAAGCTAACGTCTGTCTGAAACGATTACAGTAGCGTTGAGTCGGAGTCTTTGAATCTGGAATTGTGGATTGGCGAACTTTGAAGTCACTCTGGGGTCGGCACCAGAAGACTGGGACGACTGGAACGACCAATGGTCGACGTCATGTCGGCATGATTCATTTGCGACATCGTTTCCAAGCTACCCATGACGATCCGGGTTAGAATGGGCCCTCAGCAGCCTATGCCTGTTGTAAAAGGCGAAAAACGGAACGTCTGGTCAGTATCGCCGACTTGGTTGACACATGTCATCATATCCCAATTGCGTGGATTGATGATCATGCTGTTGATCACTGGATTGTCTGGTCCAGACTATTATTTACAAACCGCAACAACCAAAATCAACCCAAACCGGTTCCAAGCAACGACTTTGACGGTCTTTGTATACTATGCTTATGTCGGGCCTGTTGCCGTCAACGGATTTATTGATGTTGGATGGAACAGTGACCGATGTAGTTATTTGTATATATTTCATTTAAAATCTGAATACTTTACATACATTTCTTATAAATAATCAGCTGTGAGTTTGTTTAGTTTTACCAGAGAGCAATAACACACTATATCTGTACTGTGTCATTCTCTAACTGCCCCATGCCAAGAAGCTCAATAGACTGATTGTACACCTATTGTTAAATGCATGCTATGCTCATCCGTACATGAAAATAAAGACAAAAGTGCTGAGGTCAGCAAAGGGACGAGTCGTAACAAAACAATCAAGTTCAAGAGTATAGCACTCGAAAAGTGTGGCAGTTGAGGTCACGCCCTTGTATTAGTTACTTGGGTGCCTTTCATATCTACATGTAGATGTACGACAGTCCCCGCAATATCAAAGATCTCACATGCATGAGCAAGTGTCTGTTGACATTGTACTGGGCCGGCAATCACTGAGTGAGTGAGTGAGCCATCTTATGTCGTCAATGAAACGCTGTTGTCAATGTGACGTTGATGGTCATTAAAATGAAACATCGTTTATGCGACTACTAAACCAAATGGTGACGTTGGTCCAAAGCTGGAATAATACCCAAGAAGCCTTCCTCGTCCATCCTGTTTCGTCAGCGGTAAGCCGTACGCGTTGTCAAGCACGTGACAATGATGGTCATCGTTTATGCGACTTCTGAACCAACTGATGACGTTGGTCCAGCTGCACGCGGGCCTTGGTCCAAACCTGGAATTACAAGCCTCCATCCAACACGCCATCCTCATCCGCTTTGTGTTGTCAGTGGCACGCCGATGTCAAGCATGTGTCACTGCTAATGGTGGTCACCCCTTGTCTTGTGGTCAAATGACTGACCCCATGCTAAGCCGAGACAGAGGTGACGTTGAACTGGACATGTGTGTCCATGATTTATATCTCATGAATATGTTGCTCTATTTCAGCTACATGGAATACATGATGATCTTTGGTCCCTTGACCACTACTTGACCACTGCTCAAATGGGTATGTCTTTATATCACTGCACAGGAACTGTATGCCAACCTTACAAAGGAACAGGCAGATTACTGTGTGGCCCGCATGAAGCCTTACGTCGTCAGCTACGTCCCGTTATAATCAGCGATGCCCATAAACCTTTTCCCTCAATTTTTCGTAATTTGAAATCATTAAAATATTCACTTTTATGAATTATTAATGAACTCTGCCAATATAAACTAAACTGGGATACCATAACATTTTCTGTGTTAACATTTCCAGTGTTGATCGAAACCTACTTAAAAAGGCATCTTTACCAACCTTTCCTCAAAGCAACAACACGGGCTTAGCATTTGTGTAACATATTGAACAACCAATGCTGGCGCTGTTGATGTCTGAATAGAAATGTTTAAACCAGACAGACTATATCAGACAAAATTGTTATAACGGAATCATAATTATGATAAATTCTATTGCTATAACAGAATATGACAAAAGTTTCCGAAACTGGTCTTTTCCCAAAACATGAGAATCGATGGTCCCATTTTGAGAGTATCATGAACAGGTATTTCTGAATCGGTTTCAGATAGTGATGATGTCAGGTGTTTGAGAAAAGGTGAGGTATCCTGAACCAGTGGTGGCACTGGTCACAAACACATGCGGAGGCAAGCAAATATTCACCTGATTATGTGGTAGAAATCAGAATTGGGAATTGCATCGTTTTCAACACTGATACGCCAATTTTGGAAACGACCTCCGTGTTTATACCATTTTTATCCTTTTTATATTTGATTGTTCTTTTTTAAAGCTCTGCTGATGTTTTAACTGTTGTTACACTGATGAACAGATGTTTACTCGTAGAGTTTGTTTGTTGTCTAATGCCGCACTCAGCAATACTCCGGCTATATGGCGGTTAATCGTTTGGTAACCTTTTTAATTACTTCAGTCACATTGTACATCTTAACAAGCCCGATACATCTGAATGTATCCATAAAATCATCTAAATATTCTTTGTCGTTCATTACCTATTTAAATGTATTATGTCCCAATAAAGGCGGAGTATGTCTGGGAATGTCCCTTAGAAAAGAAGTTCCTTTTCAGCTTACTTCTAATTACAGTTCAACTCTGAATTGCCTCGCCAAGTTTTCTTTTTTAGCCCTTAAGAAAAGAAATAACTTCTTGACAATGATATTTATATAATATCATTCTCTCAAAACATTACTGATATATTATATACTTTTAAAAAGTAGGGGATATTCCATTTTTCGAGCATACCACTAGTCAATGGCAATGCATGTGAGACAAAAAGTAATATATATCCTTACTGATGATACAGGAATGGAATAAATTGTCACATTTTCCCTTAATTTCTCTTCATCATCTGTTTCCTCCTTGGCTTCATCATTTGCATTTGATCAGTCTTGTAAATCCAATATCTACTACTTTTTGAATGGATATGTAATAACACCTGTAAGAACGAATGCGGCATGTGGCCTCGTTTACTGAATAAACATCTCTCTCTCTCCAATAAAGGCGGAGTATAGTTCAGGTTCTGAATGCAAAATTAAAACTATTAAATTTAGCAGCACTGAAAATAACACTTTCGACTCACCCGCATGAAACATATGTTCCGCTGGAAGCATAAGGACAAGTATAACAGGAAGGATCTCCATCTTCTCCACATGCAGCCAGTGAAGCTTCCCTTCCTCTGTGAGATATGTAAAATGATATAAGCTCTACCTTGACAACAGTCGTCCTATACCTAGTTCACAGCGCAAGACTCGGTCAATATATCGCCGGCAGTACGCAAGCCTGGGCCGCGTTTCACAAAGCGATCACAGCAATCGTATCTCCTATACTTTAACATAGAGATACGACAGTCGTAGCGCTAAGATCGCTTTGTGAAACAGCCCAGTATTCTAGTCTGGGAAAGTATCCTGGTTTAGGTAACGTTAGCAGATACGACTTCAGCAACTGGAAGACTTCAATGGAACACAATTGGTCTTATTTGCCAGAAACCTATAGTCTACGTCTACAATCGCTGGCTGGTGTAATTGAAGCGACAAAACTATTTCCACATCCATAAGTAATCTTGAGAAGAGTGCACAAGTGTATCAGTTGGAATCCTAGAAGGGACTCGTATCATGAGTATATTGTTTCAGCAGTATTACAGCTTAGGATGTTTGGACCAGACAATCCAGTGATTGTCACCACGCGATACGAAGACAGAGCATGTGTTTATGAATCACTATGAGGTGAGGTGAGGTGAAATTGGGTTTTACGTCGTGCTTGGGAATATTTTGCTCATATGACGACGTGCATGCGTGTGTATGTGTATGTGCGGCTGCTTGTACTAGCCCAGACTGAAGCTGGTTTTATAGTGCTAGCCCACTGAGATACCATGCCGCAGTGAAGCATGAATACCCCACTCAGACACAGTATACTGACTCCGAGCCGACCAGTCCTTGTTGTACCCATTAATTGCCGAGCGCCAGGTAGGGACCAACAAGTACCACATTTTAACGTCTTTTGGTATGACGCGATGATACCAGGTGTTTGCATAAAGGTGAGCGTATCCTGCCCTACCGGTGGCACCCGTCACAAACACATGCAAAGTCTTGTCAATTGTTCACCTGAAATAATTCGGGAACGAGAAATCCCTGCTGAGTGAATTTAGTTTTAGGCCGCTTTTAGCAATGTTTCAGCAATATCACTGCGGGGGGACACCAGAAATGGGCTTCACACATTCTACCCATGTGCGGAATCGAACCCGGGTCTTCGGCGTGATGAGCGAACGCTTAAACCAATAGGCTACCCCACCGCCCCAAATCTCCTGAAAGCAGAGTCGATTGTACAATTGTGTCTGTGCCATGAGTATATACTTGTTTCAGCAGTGTTACCACTGTACGTGTCCCGTAGCAGTGAATTATTCATGTAGCAGAAACTGATGTGTTATTGCATCTTTAAAAACCTTCGCGTTTCAAGAAACCAAGATGGATGACATGACTGTTTCCTTATAACCGTGACGAGGTGTGCAAAGAAGGCTACATCGAAGATGAATACCATCTTTTGATATTTTCTGTCGGGTATAAAGCACTACGTGAGACTGACTGACTGAGTTTGGTTTTACGCCGCTTTTAGCAATATTCCAGCAACATCACGGCGGGGGACACCAGAAAGAGATTTTACCCCACTTTTAACGATTTTCCAGCAATATCACGAGATGGGGTGTGGTTCCATATTGATGCACTATTGTGTGGGTGTGGGTTGTGGATAGGGGTATTTTGTTTCGTTTGTGGGGTGCACCAGAAAAGGGTTTCACACGTTGCATCCAGGTGGGGAATCGTACCCGGGTCTTCGGCGTGACGAGCGAACACTTCAACCATTAGGCTACCCCAGTAACCCGCATAACTACCCCACCGCAGTAGTTAGGTCCTTATTATCCCCCACTCATTAGGTGTCACCAGTCAATATATGGTCTGATCCCTGAGCTAGTCTATTAAGGCGAGTTTAATTAGCTAGCTGCGCGATGTTTTAGCGGCTTGTTGTTGTGCTTGAGGTGCAAGTTCATTCATGCTTGAGCGGGTACTTAGCTTTAATAAATGGTTGTATCCAACAATCGTGTTGTGTATTTGCTTACTTTTCTGGATCATGTACCGTCCAGGCTCCCTGGACGGTAGGTGGCGCCGTGACACGTAGATCGATGCTCACCAGGAATGGGCTTTACACATTGTACCCATGTGGGGAATTGAACCCGGGTCTTCGGACGCTTTAACCATTAGGCTATCCCGACGCCCCTGGAAATCAAGTTTGAAAATACAACAGTCCATGCAGAACATCATAAAAGTAATGGACAAATTGGAACAAGGCTTCATACCATATATCATTATTCTTTAAAAATAAATTCGATATATTCTTCTGTCTAGTCAACAACATTATCATCTGTAATCTATCACAATGTGTAATATTATCAATTGCTGAAACTTTAATGTCAGTTACACTTTGATGTGATAAACTTACTGCTGTCTTGAGGTAAAGCTGGCCCCTGCGTATTCCTTATTTATTCGTCACCATATAAGTTCGGATGTGTCGAATCTGGTGTGTCGAATCGGATGTGTCGAATCAGGTGTGTCGAAGTACATGTGCAATGTGAACGCCCCTCTCCCTCTAAAATCTATGTACAATGCATGTCATGTACAATATCAATGACCCCCTTCTCATGATTTTCGGCTTAATTTAAAATATTTGTATGTATAAAAATGCTGACCTCGTATTGGATGTGAACAAATAATGATGATCCCCTACCTCTTCAGAACAAAATGGGAGAGAGAGAGAGAGAGAGAGAGAGAGAGAGAGAGAGAGAGAGAGAGAGAGAGAGAGAGAGAGAGAGAGAGAGAGAGAGAGACAGACAGACAGAGAGAGAGAGAGAGAGAGACAGACAGAGAGAGACAGAGAGAGAGAGGGACAGAGAGAGAGACAGACAGAGAGAGAGACAGACAGAGAGAGAGACAGAGAGAGAGAGAGAGACAGACAGAGAGACAGACAGACAGACAGAGAGACAGACAGACAGAGAGAGACAGAGAGACAGAGAGAGAGAGACAGACACAGAGAGAGAGACAGACAGAGAGAGGGACAGAGAGAGACAGACAGACAGAGAGAGAGACAGACAGAGAGAGAGAGAAAGAGAGACAAAGAGAGAAAGAGAGAGAGACACAGACACAGACAGACACAGACACACAGACAGACAGACAGACAGACAGACAGACAGACACACACACACACACACACACACACACACACACACCTAAAATAATCCTCCTCACCAGCACTCGTCAACCGTTTGGTTTGCCGGGTACTGTATTATGGTGTTGGCCGAGGTACATTTCTCTGTCAGAAACCTCACCCGGATACACATCTGTATTACAGGACAACGACCCCTTCAGCTTAATTTACTGTACAATATAACATCCTTGCTTAGTCATTTTCTGTATGTGCATGACTTCATACAAAAAATAAATATTGATATAGTCTAGAAATAAAATATCGTTTTGAATTTCAGCACCATATATTGCTTCCAAGACATCGTCTTGAATGACGTGTTCAGCAACTACTGCTATTGTGTGCACTGTAAGACGAGGCAACAACATCGATTAAACATAATCCATTGTGCCTAAACTGCACAATAACGAGGACAAGTATGTCTTAGATAAATACGTTATGGTGAAAATAGTATGATGTACAGATGTTGACAATACATGTACTTCGCGTGGATGATGCATGCGTGGGGTATGAAAGTCGTCCGATATGAAAATAAAACGATTTTGAATGTCGTTAAGATAATAATCAATACAGCCTTGCCATCAGACCTTAAGATACATTACCCTTTGTTATATACTTATCAGCCTGACAGTGATTTAACTGATGTGATTCTTATGTGTCGATTGTCGTACAAGGGTGCAGTTCACACAGAAATAATGAGGGATCGATTGAGATCGGGGAGTGATCGTTAGTTTTTAGTTTCTCGGTATGCACATCAATCAAACCGAGTTATCTTTCCCTTATACAAAGAGTTATAAATCCGGACATGAGCACGATGGAATAATCCGGACAGGGCCAGTATTTCAGGTGAACGCATTCTTTACATTCAACAGTTGCTTATAACCATCACATAGCACTCCTCTTTAAAAATTATTATCCCCGAATATCAGCATTCTAATCTTGCAATAACATTTTTCCTGTGTCCCGTGCAAGGAAGAAAAAAAATTAAAATGGGCAATACAATTGTGAAATATTGAGGGAACACATGTGAAACCGTGACTGCTTGGGGAGTAGGGTAAACTACAAGCAGCGCCAAAACTTCACAAAACGTACTGAAGCTGCTTTATACCAAATGTTTTTGATTAGGGCTTTGCACCGCGACTATCGTAATGAGGACAGTCTGTAAATAATCTGTCTGGACCAGACAATCCAGTGATTGATACCATCAGCATCGATCTACGCAAATGGGATGTGATGACATGTGTCAACCATGTCAGCGAGTCTGACCACCTGATCAAGTTACTCGCCTCTTACGACAAGCATGGTTCGCTGAAGCCGGATCTTCAGGGGTGTGTCAAAAGATGCTCTAGTCCTTAGTTTTAACTTTCATATTTCACGCTCCCCTACTTTTTATATACAATATAGTATACAATTAAGCCATTGCGGCTATTAAATGCTGTGACCCGATAGATGACAAGTATAGAAGGATATGTTTTTATTGATCACACTTCGAAATTAATTATATACAAGATTCTCAAAGTATTGATACGTTTACAACACAATACATTCTACCGTATTTCCTCTAATAAGCGCCTCAGCGCTTATTTTTTCAACGGACCTCCAGACCCGGTGCTTATTAGAGGCCCGGCGCTTATTAAAATAACCTGTATTTTTAAAAGCGGGGATGAGTACAAAGCCATAAGGTTTAAGGGACCATTCCTTAATATATTTATTTTTAGAGCAAGGGAGAATACATTTGCGAAAAAATGCAAAGGTCTATACCCGGCGGTTATTAGAGACCCGGCGCTTATTCCTTAAAGCACTGCTTTATCCCCGGCGGTTATTAGAGACCCGGCGCTTATTTCTTAAAGCACTGCTTTATCCCCGGCGGTTATTAGAGACCCGGCGCTTATTTCTTAAAGCACTGCTTTACCCCCGGCGGTTATTAGAGACCCGGCGCTTATTTCTTAAAGCACGGCTTTACCCCCGGCGGTTATTAGAGACCCGGCGCTTATTCCTTA